AACCACCTGCAGCAGCTCCACCAGCAGCTCCAGCAGACCCAGGGCTACCTGCAGACCACCAGGGCCATGGTGGCTTGGGAGCACGGGGAGGAACCCGGGTGAGCAGCGTCTCCCTCTGCCACCTCCATCGTTCCCTGCTGAGGGATGAGCTGGGGGGTCTCGGCTGCCGAGGGCTCCGTGGGGTGGGTTGGTGTTGGTTTGGGGTGAAAAGCATCATGAGAAAAGGGCAGGGCTGTCAGCACCCTGTGCTGGATGTGTCCCCAGCAGAGAGGGGGACATCCTGCACCCAGAAGGACCCAGCCAGGACTGGCTTGAGAGCCCTGGGCCAGGCTGCCCAGAGAGGCTGTGGAGGCTCCTTCTCTGGAGACTTTCAAACCCACCTGGACACGTTCCTGTGGGATCTACTGTAGGTGACCCTGCTCTGGCAGGAGGGTTGGACTAGATGATCTTCAGAAGTTCCTTCCAACCCTGACCCACTGTGTGACTGTGGGGTTTGCTGTCCTGCTGCCTCTGGAGCTGGAGACAACGCTGGGGCAGGGCTGGAGGTGATGAAGAGGATGCAGTTGCCACGTTGACCCCTGTGCTCTGTGTTTGCAGGGACAGAGCAGTGGCAGAGCTGCCCGGCGAGGTGCCAATGTCCCCACAGGTACTTCAGCTGGGGAGAGGACAGGGTGTCCATGCTCTGTTTGGTTTGGGGCTGCTGGGGAAGCTTTCCCAGACTGGGTGGTCCCGGTGCCTCAGACACCTGGGAAGGGAGAGGGGGGCAGGGGTACCAGCACCTGAGTCCTGGCACCTCCAGGGTTTTTTGGGAGGGTATTTCTAGATACCTGCTGGAGAGCTCAGCTTCGTTCCAGCTGGATCCTCTTCCTCACCAAGTCCTTTTCCCTCTGCTCTTCCCACCCTGTTGGCTGCAGATGAGTCCGGAGAGGCACCGCTCGGAGATGCGGATCAGGCTGGGGTCCCGGAGCAGAGACCCCCAGGCCAGGGGCTCCCACCACGTGTAAGGGGTCCTGGGCAACAGCTGCTGCTTCAGCTGGTGCCCCCGAGGTCTGCAAGCTGGGACCAAGCACCCAAACCTTCACCTTCCCCAAGCAAAACAAGTTATTTAGTCCTTTCACTGCTCCTTTCCTCCCCACCCATCTCCCCTCCTGGAGATCAGGTCTCCCAGCCCAGCTCCTTGTCCTGCATCCTTCCCTGGCCCCAGGCACTCACCATTCCTGACCAAGACTTGTCTCTTTTCATCACCACTAAGGTGAAGCTGGAGCCTGGGAAGGTGCACACTTGCTCGCCAGGCAGGATTTGGAGCAACCTGATCTAGTGGGAGGTGTCCCTGTCCATGCTGGGGGTTTGGGACTAGATCATCTGGACCAGATGGTCTTTACGGTTCTATCCAACCCAAACCAGTCCATGATTCCATGGTATGGCCCCAAGCTGTGCATCCCCTGTCCCCATCACTGCCTGTGTGAACCCCCAGGACACCCAGAGGGGAAATAAAACAGGGTTTGGAGACGGGGGGTGGGCTGAGGTTGGCAGAACAGAGACCCCCCTGGTGCTGGCCTGGGTGGATGGGATGGAGCTGGAGCTCAACCTGGGGACTGGGCTGACCTCCCCCTCCTGATTTTTCTGCCCTTTCCAGAGTCTGGGAAGTGCTGCCAGCAGAAAGAAGCCTTTTGGGAGAGCGGCCCAGAGTGAGCTCCATGGAAGAAGACCCCTTCCCACCTCTGAAAGAGGAACACTGCTCTGACCAAAGCTCTTTGCTAAGAGAGATGAATGATGCAATTGCAGCTCTGAGCAAACAGCTGAAGTTGCAGGCACCCCCAGACACTGCCCAGCGTCCCTGTCCATGCTGGGGGTTTGGGACTAGATGATCTGGACCAGATGGTCTTTATGGTTCTATCCAACCCAAACCAGTCCATGATTCCATGGTATGGCCCCAAGCTGTGCATCCCCTGTCCCCATCACTGCCTGTGTGAACCCCCAGGACACCCAGAGGGGAAATAAAACAGGGTTTGGAGACGGGGGGTGGGCTGAGGTTGGCAGAACAGAGACCCCCCTGGTGCTGGCCTGGGTGGATGGGATGGAGCTGGAGCTCAACCTGGGGACTGGGCTGACCTCCCCCTCCTGATTTTTCTGCCCTTTCCAGAGTCTGGGAAGTGCTGCCAGCAGAAAGAAGCCTTTTGGGAGAGCGGCCCAGAGTGAGCTCCATGGAAGAAGACCCCTTCCCACCTCTGAAAGAGGAACACTGCTCTGACCAAAGCTCTTTGCTAAGAGAGATGAATGATGCAATTGCAGCTCTGAGCAAACAGCTGAAGTTGCAGGCACCCCCAGACACTGCCCAGCACCCCCAGGATGATGCTGAGCCCCAAAGGGGGCTGGAGGCAACCACAGCCCATGGCACAACCCCTGGGGTCCTGCCAGGGACGCACCTCGGTCACGAGCTGTTGGAAGGAGACCTGGAAGAGGGACCAGCCATGGCCAAGCTCCATATTCCAGATGTGACACAGGCTGGTGGGTCCTTGGGATCCTGGAACCACAGGGCTCAGGAGCCAGGGGGAGAACAGGGAGGGCAGGGACCCATGGGTGGGCTTGGCCCAGCTGCAGCTCCAGAAGAGCATGTGGGGCTGGGGGGAGAGGCTGGCCCAGCACTGGGGGTTCCCCAGAAACTTGAAATCAGGCCTTGGGAGCCCCTGGAGCCAGAGCTCCAGGGTGAAGCAGAAAGGGGAGCAGCCCAGGGGATCAGGGTCCCCTCTGAGGGGATGGGGGCTCCTGGCCCCGGGATGCTGGAGGAGGAGCAGGGAGGTGTGGAGGTGAATCCCTGGGGAGAGGCCTCTGGTGATGGGTCTGTGAGGGGACAGATGGTTTTGGGGAGGGGTGGGGGGGTGGCAGTGACTGTGCCACATGCCGAGGTGCAGGAAGGTGGAGCACGGACAGATGTGCAGCCTCTGGAGCCCCAGAGCAGCGATGCCAACCAGCAGCTGCCTGCAGAGGGGGAGGCAGGTCTGCAGCCCCCCAGGGAGGCTGAATCCTGGGGGAAGGAGCAGGGGGGGAGTGTGGATCCAGATGTGCAACCCCTGGGCCAGGCTGATAAACCAGAGTTAGTGGGATTGGAGGTAGAGGATGAGCAGAAAAACATGGAGCTGGGTGAGGATCTCAGCCCAGAAACTCTGCAGGGAGAGGAGAACCATGAAGCTGTTGAGCTCCTGGGGGAGGCTGAGGATGGGGCACAAGGACAGGGGGAGCAGGAGGTGCCACAGGAGACCCTGCTGGTTCTGCAGGGAGAGGGGGCTGGAGCTGGTGTGGAGCTTGAGGAGGGGCCTGTGATCCTGGACATGCTGGGGGAGCAGGGCCCTGGTGGGAACGTGCAGCTGAGGGCAGAGGTGGAGGAGCTCAATGGAGGGAGAACAGAGGCAGATTTTCAGCCCCCCAGTGAGGCTGGTTCCCTGGGGATGGAGCAGGGAGGGAGTGAGGCTCCAGATGTGCAACCACTGGAGGAGGAAGAGGAGGAGGATAAACCAGGGTTGGAGCAGGGAGCAGGTGCTGCTGGGCTGGTGTACAGGGAGGGTCCATCCCCAGCAGAAACCCCTGTGGGGAGCCCAGAGCTGTGTGGGATGTTCCCAGTTGAGGCTCAGGGACTGGAACTGGTGCAGGCAGAGGACTCCTGGGCAGGGATGGAGCTCCTGGGGAGTGTCAGCCCAGAAACCCCTCAGCAAGGGGAGGATGGAGCAGCCACTCAGCTCCTGCGGGCGGCTGAGGGTGGGGGACAAGGAGAGGGGGGGCCGG